AACTCTCAAAGATGATCGTGAGTGGCCTAGCAATGATGCCTGCTAGTTCCCTCAGCATTCGTGGATGCATCCTGTCAGGGCCCATGGAGTTGTGGATGTCATGTTTGACTAAAAGGTCTCTAAACCATATCTCCTCAACCAAAGAAAAGCCTTCCTTCCTCCAGACCTATGCTGGCCTTGGCAGTAAAGACTGAAGCAGAGAAGGTGTTCAGTACCTCTGCCTTCTCTGTGCACTCCGTTGCAAGGGTCCCTGTTTCATTCAGTAGTGGGCCCACATTATCCTTAGGTTTCCTTTTTGTTATTGATGTATTTGAAGCAGCACTTCTTGTTGTCCTTGACATACTTGGCCAGATTTAATTCCAGATGGCCCCTGGGCCTTCCTTGTTGCATTTCTGCATACTCTGACAACATCCCCCCTGTGGTGGTTTTGACCCTGGATGGATTTCAAATACCCACCAAAAACCACTACATTCCCCCTCCCTCTGCAACTCCACATAGGAGAGAAAAAAAAACAGCTGAGGATTCCTAAGTAGAGATAAGAACTGGGAGACTTGCTTACTGACAGGCAAAACAAACTCAAAGTGGGGATAGAATTTAAATTTATTGCTAACAAGATAAAAGCCAAAAAGCAAGAAATAAAACAGTCTTAGAAACACCTTCCCCTCCCCCCCACCTTTCTTCCATGCTCTCCCTCCTCCCCCTCCAGCAGTGCAGGGGGACAGGAAAGGGGGGGGGTGATGTCAGTTGTTGAGTCCATCTCTTGGACAACAGCTCTTCTCATTTTGCTGTCCCGTAGGTCACTCCTTCATGGAATGCAGTTGGGTCTCTGCACTCTGAAGGTCTTCCATAGTCTACAGGGGGACACCTGTGTCACTATGGTCTTCACCACAGGCTACAGGGGGGCCACAGCTCTAAGTCCTTCCCCTGTTCCCGTGGAGGTCCCTCCCACGGGAGACAGTCCTTCATGGACCTCTCCAACGTGAGTCCACCCACCCCTCGGGCAGCAGTTCTTCCAAATCTGTTGTCCCAAGGGTCACATCTCCATGGGGGTGCAGTCCTTCACAGATAAGCTGTATTGACATGGGTCCCCCACAGGACCATGAGTCCTACCTGAGAAAAACTTGCTCCAGCGTGGGCTTCTCTCTCCATGGACCACAGGTCTCCAGCAGGTACCTATCGCGGAGGGGGTTAACCCCGTGAACAGACCCTCGGGCACACTTTGTATAGGAAACGGGCACACACAGGTAGGTATGTGACCCACAAAATGGCGTTTATTAAAACAAGATGTCAGTTTATATAGAGGGGAACATGGAAGAGTCTGGAACAAAGGAGGGATTCTTCCTAGGAACATCAAATCCTAAGGTTTAGTGATAAGGGGAAATGGAGGGATTGGCCGTAGGGATATGTCCAGCCATCTAGGGAGAGGGGGAGTTAGGGAAGGAAGGGAAGGAGGGGTCTGTGGGTACAAACAGGGGAGTTGTACAGAAGTTTATGAGGCTGCATCCTGTAGCTGGGTCTCTAGGCAACCCCTCGCAGCTGCAGTTGTCAGAGGACTTAAACTTCTTCCTCTGAGGTTTCTTCGCAGCCCCTCTGCATCTCTCTCCATTCTCTGTAGGCCTCTACTGGTCCACCTCCGACAGGTACCTTGTTCCATCTTGGGCCTCCCACCGGGGATCACAGCCTCTTTTATGCATCCACCTGCTCCAGCATGGGCTGCAGGGGGGGGTCTCTGCACCCCAATGGTCTTCCACAGGCTGCAGGGGCCTTGGCTCTGAGTCTCTCCCCTGCTCTTGGCGGGGGAAGGGGGAGGAAGGCCCCCCTTCCCTCCCCCTGCTGCACTGACCTTGGTGTCTGTCTGTTATCCCATGTTCTCAGTCCTCTCTTCTCAGGCTGGAATTTCTTCTGTGCCACAACTCCTCCCTTCCTCTGTTCTTAAATATGTTATCACAGAAGCACACTCATTGGCTCAACCTTGGCTAGCAACAGGAAATCCCTCCTGGAGCTGGTTATCATTGGCTTTTCATAGGACAGTGGAAGCTTCTAGCAGCTTCTAACAGAAGCCACCCCTCTATCAAAACTCAGCCACATAAACATCTCATGGCCTGTCCCTGCTTTCACCTCATGTGTGTCTCTTGCTTATGACTGGGTTTTGGCAAGAGTTCCTTTTCATCCACACAGGCCTCCTAACCCTTTTGCTCACTTTCTTGCCAATGGGGATGCACCATTCTTGAACCTGGAGGGAAGTGATGCTTGAATATTGACCAGCTCTCTTGGACCCCTCTTCCCTCTAGGGCATGTTCCAATGGGATTCTTCCAAGAAGATCCCTGATTCTGCTGCTAGTAGGATGTCATCCATGTAGTGATACGGGACGGCCTCTGGAAACTGTTGCCGGATTGGTGATAAGACGTCTGCAATGACTCTCTGGCAGACAGAAGGGCTATTTTTCATACCCTGTGGTAAGACTGCCCAGCAATAGCAATGAGAAGGCTCTTCTGCATTAGTGGAAGGCACTGTAAATGAAAATCTGTGAGAGTCTTTAGGGTTTAACTTGATGTTAAAAAAACAGTCCTTGATATCAATAATAACGATAGGCTGATTAGAGGGCAGCATAGTTGGTGAGGGAAGCCTTGGTTGGAGAGCTCCCATGGGCTCTATTATTTTATTAAGTTCTCTTAAGTCCCGTAGCAGTCTCCACTTTCCACTGGTATGGTGAAAATGGGGAAGTTCCAGGGGCTGTCAGTTGGCACAATATGTCCTTTTGCAAGTTGTTAATTTACTAACAGTTTGCCTTGCCGCAGTTTTTCCCTTTTTAGGGGCCACTGGGATACCCAGATGGGCTTGTCTGAGAGCCATGTGAGGGCGGGAGACTGCGGCTCTCCAGTGGCCTCAAGGCTAAATTTGAGGTAGTGAGATGGATGTTCCATTGTCCTATTATATCCCTCCCCCAGAGGGTCATTGGAATATTAAGGACATAGGGCCTTGTTGAAGCAGTTTTACATTCTGGTCCTTTCATCAGTAAGGTGCAGATACTTTGGAGTGGTGTTTGAGCTCCTCCTACCCCTTTGATGTCGATATAGGGCTTTGTGGTGCTCCACTCCTTTGGCCCATCTGTTTCTGCAAAGATGGTGATGTCTACTCCTGTGTCTATAAGACCTTTAACTTGAACACACTGGTTAGAGTTGGGGAAAAACACAGAACAGGTTAGCATTGGCCGATCAAGCAAAATAGACTGTGTCCATTGAACCAGAGGCACAGAGTCTAAGGTGTTTTCCCCCATCTCAATAGGGGTTAAATTGGCAATAGGTGTGTCTGTGTCAAGCTCCACAGGTGGAAACAGAGTTTTTACAGTCACTTCTATTACCTTTGGATTATCCATAGTTACTGGTTGAGGTAACACTGTTACACCTGTTTCAGTTGAGGTAGTAGTTCCAGTTAAGATGTATTGTCCATGAGGTACTGGTAAATTACCAGTTGGTTTCACAATAATTGTTTGGTAGTCATCACAGCTTATGGTGACTGGGTGGGGAGATGCTAATTCCACCCTAGAGATACCTGCCTTGGGTGATTGTTTGGGAGTGGGGGGAGCAGGTGGTTGTGTGTGATTGAGGGGTAGTTTATATCATAGTGCCCTCCTAAGTGCTCAGTTCCCCATTTTCCAGAACCGGGGTCAGCTTTTGTGCAGCTCTTGGTGAAAGTGGCCTCCCCTCTCTGTCAAAAAGCGATCTACGATCACTTGCCCAGTGTAATCCCTTTTTGCATTGGGGACACAAACTAGGTGGTACTGTAGGGACTCTTTTCAGATGAGGGCAGTCCTTTTTAAAATGTCCTGCTTGTTTGCAATAGTGACAAGTAGAAACTGTTTGTTGGTGTTGAACTACCATGGCTTCAACTTGTGGGGATTTATTGGGGGTATTAGGTGTCACATCTCGGCATGCTTTAACCATATCCATCGGGCTAGGATCCCAGACTGTCCTTAAGATGCGTTGACATTCCTCCTTTGCTTGTTCGATAGCTAGTCTCTGGAACATAGAATCTTGAGCCTCTGGATGTTTAAATTATTTTGCGAGAGCATCCTTTAATCTCTCAGCAAAGTCCATGAAAGGCTTTGTCACTTTTTGGCGGATTTGTGATTGCATCAAAAGCTAAGAACTTAGATCTTTGCAATTTGTTTAAAGGGATTGTGGTTTGGGCTTGATTAGAGGAATATGGCCCAGTGCCAAACATCATACTAATTGTATCGTCAATTGGGATACCTGTGGTAGGAAAAATCTGTTCCACATGCTTGCAGATTAAAGCTTTCCACTCTTGCAGAAAAAGAGTGTTTTGCATTTTTGTTAAAAATGCCTCTGATAACATTTGTATATCATTTGGAGTGAGGTTGTAAGCTCCAAATAAGGACCTCAGAATCTGTAGTGCATAGGGTGAGCTGAGGCCATAATCGGCTATTGCTTTTTTTGTATCTTTAAGGATTGGAAGTGGCAACGGATTCCATTGTCCTTAGGGGGGGCTTCAAATTGCCGTATGTTAATTGGGAACACCACACGGCTGGTACAAACAGGTCCAGAAGATTCTTAAAACACCTGGATGACAACTTGGCAGCAACCTCAGGTGAACAAGGGGTGTGTCCAGGACCATTTGCAGGTGATTTAAACAGCTTTAGGGAGGGTGGGGAACAGGAGTAGGGAAATAGGGGTGTGTCATAGCAGTTTGCATCACAGTTTATGCAGGCAGGGGGTGACCAGGAAAGGTGCAGCTAACCTCCTGGTTCCTGGTAGTGAGTTGTGTGGTAGTGTTTTTTGTTTGTGGTTTTCTGTTGCTTTTTTTCTTCCTCCCCCCAATTTGACTAGATCCAACAATGGTTTACAAATGGTCTGTAGTGGGTTTCTGTGGCTGGGTTTTGGTAGTAGGGGGGCTACAGAGGTGGCTTCTGTTAGATGCTGCTAGAAGCTTCCCCTGTCCTGTGGAGGCAATGTGAGCCAGCTCCAGGACAGACTTCCTGCTGCTGGCCGAGGCCAAGCCAATTAGGAGTAATAGTAACGCCTCTGTGATAACATATTTAAAAACAGATTGTTGCGCAGAGGAGAAATTCCAGCCAGGGAAGAGCAGAGTGAGAACATGGGAATAACAACATAGACACCAAGGTCAGTGCAGAAGGAGGGGGAGGAGGTGCTCCAGGTGCCAGAGCTGAGGCCCCTGCAGCCCATGGAGGACCATCAGGGTGTAGACACCCACCTGCAGCCCATGGAGAAGCCCACGCTGGAGCAGGTGGATGCATGAAGGAGGCTGTGACCCCGTGGGAGGCCCAAGATGGAGCAGGGTCCTGCCAGAGACTTGCAGCCCATGGAGAGGGAAGCCCATGCTGGAGCAGATTTTTCCCAGGGAAGGACTTGTGGCCCCTGGGGGGGGACCCATGCCAGTACAGCTGTGGTGGGTTGACCTTGGCTGGATGCCAGGTGCCCACCCAGCTGCTCTATTACTCCCCTTCCCAACGGGACAGGGGAGAGAGTAAGGTGGATTAAAAAAAACAACTCATGGGTTGGGATAAGGCAGGTTATTTAAAGCAAAAAACTAAAGCGAAGCTTGCGCGTGCAGGAACGAAAGATAGCATGGTTTATTCTCTACTTCCCGTGAGCAGCAATGATTGGCCACTCCTGAGAATCAGGACTTCAGCATGTGTGGTGGTTTCTCAGCAGGGAGCCATTAGACAATGAATGCCTGCCCTCCTGCTCCTTGCCTTAGCTTTTATATCTGAGCTGACGTCATATGGTATGGTATATCCCTTTGGTCAGTTTGGGTCAGCTGGCCTACTTGTGTCCCCTCCCCGGATCTTGCCCTCAATTGAGGAAGGAATGTTACAGTACTGATGCTGTGCTCAGCAGTAGCCAAAACACTGGTGTGTTATCAACACCTTTCTAGCTACCAATGCAAAGCAGAGCACTGTGAGGGCTGTTTTGGGGAAATAAACTCCATCTCAGCCAGACCCCATACACAGTGAAAAGGCTTTGCTGCTGCTGTCATCAAGAGTGTGGTACCCTAGACATGATCCCCCAAGAAGGATGTAGCTGTCCAGGTCACTGGCTGCAAGGGAGTGCATGCGCCTGGTGTTAGTACTGGAGGACAGTGCAAAAGACACCTGTGTGCAGTGTGAACAGGTGAATGATCTACTGTCTAGTGGCAGTGTTTAAAGAAGAAGTGGAAAGGCTAAGGAGTATCAGGGAGAGTGAAAGGAAAATAGACTGGTGGAGTTACACCCTTCCAACCCTGAGAGAAACTCATTAGGAGTCAGAGATGCCCTGCCCCTCTTGCCATCAGGCAGAAGGAGGAGACCTAGTAGATGGGGGGAAATGGAAACAGGTCCCTGCTTGGGGAGGTAAAAGAATTCCCTCCTGATCCCCATCGCCTTCCCAGGTGTCCTTACAGAATAGGTATGAGGTCCTGGATCTAGAGGGTCAGGCAGATGACACTTGAGAAAAAAATCTGTCTGGAGGGTCTCCCAGTTGCACTCCATCAGGCGGATGACAACCTCAGCTATTAAGAAGAAAAGTAGTTGTAGTAGGTGACTCCCGAGGGGAACTGAGGGCCCTGTATGCCAACTGGACCCATCCCACAGGGAAGTCTGCTGCCTCCCTGGGACCCAGGTAAGGGATATCACCAGGAGACTCCCTGAACTAATTCAGCCCTCTGATTATTACCCGCTGTTGGTTGTCCAGGTTGGCAGTGATTAGGTTGATAAGAGGGGAACCAGGGTAATTAAAAAGGACTTCAAGGCTCTGGGTTGACTGCTTGATGGAACAGGAGTGCAGGTGGTGTTCTGCTCAATTTCTTTAGTAACAGGGATGAACGGTGAAAGGAACAGGAAAACCCACGACATCAATAAGTGGCTTAAGGACTTGGTGTCATCAGCAGAATTTTGGGGTTTTTGATCATGGGACAATTTTTATGGCACCAGACCTGCTAGAGTCAGATGGGCTTCATCTATCTAGCATGGGCAAAAGGACTCTAGCCTATGAGTTGACAGGGCTGATTAAGAGGGCTTTAAGCTAGGTTTGAAGGGGGAAGGGAATGAAACCAGGCTCTCCAGAGATGAGCCTAAGGGTGATAAGCCAGAGTTAGGGGTGAAATCAGCAGCCCAGTTGAACTGCACATACACTGATGCATGCAGTATGGGCAACAAACAAGAGGAGCTGGAAGCCATCGTGCAGCAAGAAAGCTATGACATCACCATCAAGGAAATGTGGTGAGATGACTCATGACTGGAGTGCTGCAATAGATGGTTACATGCTCTTCAGAAGGGACAGGCAAGGTAGGAGGGGTGGCTCTGTATATTAGGGAGTCTCTTGACTATAGAACTTGAGGTTAGTGAAGATAAGGTGGAGTGATTATGGGTAAGAATGAGGGGGAAGGCCAACAAGTCTGACATCCTGGTGAGTGTCAGTTATAGACCACCCAACCAGGATGAAGAGGTGGATGAATTATTCTATAAGCAGCTGGTGAATGTTTCAAGATTGCCAGCTCTTGTTCTTGTGGGAGACTAACCTGCCAGATGTCTGCTGGGAACTCAACACAGCAGAGAAGAGGCAGTCTGGGAGGTTCTTGAAGTGTGTGGAGGATAGCTTCTTGTCACAACTGGTGAGCAAGCCTACCAGGTGTGGGGCCCCTCTAGACCTGCTGTTTACAAACAGAGAAGGGCTGGTGGGAGATGTGGTGGTCAGAGGCCCTCTTGGGATACTGGTCATGAAACAATAGTTTTCAATACTTGGTGAAACAAGGAGGGGCATCAACAAAACCTCTATGCTGGACTTCCGGAGGGCAGACTTCGGCCTATTCAGGATGCTGATTCAGAGAGTACCTTGGGAAACAGCCCTTAAAAACAAAGGGGTCCAGGAAGTATGGACATACTTCAAAAAAGAAATCTTGAAGGCACAGGAGCAGGCTGTCCCTATGTGCAGGAAAACGAGTTGATGGGGAATCCGACTGGCCTGGCTGGGCAGGGAGCTTTTGCAGGAACTCAGAGAAAAAAAAAGTGTTTATCGCCTTTGGAAAAAGGGGCAGATAACTCAGGAAGTGTTTAAGTATGTCATTAGATCATGCAGAAAGAAAATTAGAAAGGCGAAGGCATAATTTAAACTTAATCTGGCCACTAATGTAAAGTATAATAAAAAGTGGTTTTATAAATACATTAATAGCAAAAGGAGGGGCAAGGAAGACCTCCATTCTTTATTGGATGTGGGGGGAATAAAGTTACAAAAGATGAGGAAAAGGCTGAGGTTATTAACACCTTCCTTGCCTCAGTTTTCAACAGTAAGACAGGTTGTCCTCAGGACAACAAGCCTCCTGAGCTGGTAGACAGGGATGGGGAGCTGAATGGTTCCCCTGTAAACTAAGAGGAAGCAGTGACCTGCTGAGCTACTTAGATGCTCACAAGTTCTGTGGGATCATATGGGATCCATCCTAGGGTGATGAGGGAGCTGGCAGAGGAGTTTACCAAGCTGCCCTCCATCATTTATCATCAGTCTGGCTAACCAGGGAGGTCCCAGATGACTGGAAGTTGGCCAATGTGACACTCATCCATAAGAAGGACCAGAAGGAGGATCCGGGAAACTACAGGCATGTCAGCCTGATTTTGGTGCCCAGGAAGGATATGGAACAGATTGAGTGAGATAATACGGCACCTACAGGACGGCCTGGGGATCAGACCCATCCAGCATGGATTTAGGAGGGGCAGGTCCTGCTTGATCAACATGATCTCCTTTTATGACCAGGTGACCCACCTGGTGGATGAGGGCAAGGCTGTGGATGTGTCTACCTGGACTTCGGCAAAGCCTTTGACACTGTCCCCCATAGCATACTCCTGGAAAAGCTTACAGTCCAAACTTGGACAGGTACACCCTTCACTGGGTTAAGAACTGGCTGGATGACCGGGCCCAGAGAGTGGTGGTGAACGGTGCTGCATCCAGTTGGTGGCTGGTCACTAGTGGTGTCCCCCGGGATCAGTGTTGGGCCCAGTCCTTTCTAATACCTGGATGAGAGGATTGAGTGTACCATTAGTAAATTTGCACATGACGCCAAGTTGGGTGGGAGTGTCGATCTTCTGGAGAGTAGGAGGGCTCTGCAGAGGGACCTGGACAGGCTGGATAGATAGGCTGAATCCAACAGTATGAGGTTCAACAAGACCAAGTGACAGGTCCTGCACTTTGGCCACTACAGGTTTAGTGGCTGGACAGTGGCCAGGCAGAAAGGGACCTGGGGGTACTGATTGACAGCAGGCTGAACAAGAGCCAGCAGTGTGCCCAGGTGGCCAAGAAGGCCAATGGCATCCTGGCCCATATCAGGAATAGTGTGGCCAACAGGACCAGGGAAGAGATTCTTCCCCTGTACTTGGCACTGGTTAGGCAACACCTTGAGTACTGTGTCCATTTCTGTGCCCCTCAGTTTAGGAAGGATATTGAGATGCTGGAGTATGTCCAGTGAAGGACAACGAGGCTGCTGAAGGGTCTAGAACACAAGTCCTATGAGGAGTGGCTAAGGGAGCTAGGGGTTGTTTAACCTGGAGAGGAAGAGGCTCAGGGGGGACTCTACAACTACCTGAAATGAGATTGTAACTGAGTGGTGGTCAGTCTCTTCTCCCAGGCAACTAGCAATAGGACAAGATGACATAGTCTTAAACTGCACCAGGGGAGGTTTAGGTTAGACATGAGGAAGAATTTCTTCATAGAAAGGGTGTTTAGATGTTGAATTGGGCTGCCCAGGGAGGTGGTGGAGTCACTGTCCCTGGAGATGTTTAAGGAAAGGCTGGATGTGCACTTAATGTCATGGTCTAGTAGACAAGGTAATGTCAGGTCATAGGTCGAACTTGATGATCTCAGAGGTCTTTTCCAACATAGTTGATTCTGTGATTCATGGTACAGGTACTAAGGGAGCCAATTAGAAAAGGTGCCCTCCTTGGTTTGTTGACTGTTTACAGAGAGGGGCTCATGACTGAAGTGGCGATTGGTGGCTATCCTGGCCACAGCAACCATGAAACAGTGGTGTTTAAAATCTCTTGACAGAAGGAAAAATGCCAGCAAAACCTCAACCCTGGACATGAGGAGAGCAGACTTCAAGTGGCTCACCAAACAAGCTAGTAAGATCCCCTGAGAAAACACTGTTTAAGGTACCAGGGTTAATCAGGACTGGTCAATTTTTAAGCACCACCTCCTAACAGCACAGGAGCAGGCAATTCAAAAATGTTGCAAGTCAAGCAGATGAGGCTAAGCAGGAATCTTCTTCTGCAGCAAAGGCAAAACAGGAAGGTGTATGGCCAGTGGAAATAAGGTCAGGTGACATAGGAGGAATACAGAGATGTTGCTTGCCACTGTAGGGAGAAAATTCATGCAGCCAAACCTCAATTAGAGCTGAAGCTGGGTAGTACTGCGGGGGAATATAAAAATGTTTTTTAAATACGTTAATAGCAAAAGGCAGCGCAGAAATAATATCAGCCCGTTACAGGATGAGGATGGTCACCTCACAAACAGCAGCATAAACAAGGCAGAGATGTTTAAGGGTAGTAGTGGGTTGACCTTGCCTGCCAGCCAGGTGCCCACCAAGCCACTCTATCACTCCCCTTTCCCAGCCGGACAAGGGAGAGAAAATAAGATGGAAAGCAGCTTGTGAGTTAAGGCAGTTTACTAAAACAAAAGTGAAAGCGTGTGTACAAAAGCCAAGCAGAAAAAAATAAAAAAGGTTAATTCTCTACTTCCCATCAGCGAGTAATGTCCAGCCATATCCCAGGAAGCAGGGCTTCAGCATGCACAACAGTTTCTCAGTAGGCAGGCACTGTAAGCAATGAATGCCCTCCCTTCCTGCTACTTTGCTTAGCTTTTATATTTGAGCTGATGTCATATGGTATGGAATATCCCTTTGGTTAGTTTGGGTCAGCTGGCCTGGTTGTGTCCCCTCCCAGGATCTTGCCCTCGATTGGGAAAGGAATGTTGCAGTGCTGATGCTGTGCTCAGCAGTAGCCAAAACACTGGTGTGTTATCAACACCTTTCTAGCTACCAATGCAAAGCAGAGCACTGTGAGGGCTGTTTTGGGGAAATGAACTCCATCTCAGCCAGACCCAATACACTTTCTTTGCCTTTGTCTTCAACACCGATGATGGGCTAAGGGGGTCCCAGAACCCTGAGCTGGAGGACCATGACTACAAGAATGGTCAACTCCCAGTCGACCCTGAAATTGTGTGGGATCTGCTGGTCCAGCTGGATCCCTTTAAGTCAATGGAGCCTGATGGGATTCATCGGAGAATAAAGTGCTGGCTGATGTCATTGTGAGGCCTCTCTCAATGATTTTTGACTGGTCTTGGGATCTGGAGGGGTCCCAGTTGACTGAAAGCTGGCAAATGTCCCAATTTTCAAGAAGGGCTAGAAGGATGACCCTGGAAACTACAGGTCTGTCAGTCTCAATTCAGTGACTGATAAAATTATGGATAAGATTATTCATGGCTTCATGAGGGGCAAGTCCTGCTTGTCAAATTTAATTTTCTTTTTCAACAAAGTAACCCACCTAGTTGATCAAGGGAAACCAGTTGATATAATATTTTGGATTTCAGTAAAGCTTTTGATACTGTCTCTCACAGGATCCTTCTGGACAAACACTCCAACACACAGCTGAATAAACACATGCAATGGGTGAGCAACTGACTGACGAGTCAGGCGCAAAGGGTTATATTGAATGGGGTAATATCAGGCTCTGTGCTTTTCAACATCTTCATAAATGACTTGCATGCAGGACTGGAAGGGATACTAGGTAAGTTTACCAGCTATACTAAATTGGGAGGAGCTGCTGACTACTTTGGAGGCAGAAAGGCCCTGCAGAGAGACCTGGACAGATTAGAGGGCTGGGTAATAACCAACCATATGAAGTTTAACAAAGACTCGTGCCAGATTCTGCACCTGGGATGGGGCAACCCTGAATGTACATACAGACTGGGGAGCAAGAAGCTGGAGAGCAGCACGGTGGAAAGGGACCAGGGGATCCTGACCAATCGCAAGTTGAATATGAGTCAGCAGTGTGCCCTGGCAGCCAGGAGGGCCAACTGCGTTCTGGGGTGCATCAGGCACAGCATCGCCAACCAGTCAAGGGAGGTGATTGTCCTGCTCTACTCTGCGCTGTTGTGGCCTCACCTTGAGTACTGTGTGCAGTTTTGGGCACCACAATATAAGAAGGATCTAAAAGCTATTAGAGAGCATCCAAGGGAGGACCATGAAGATGGTGAAGGGCATTGAGAGGAAGCCCTATGAGGAGCGTCTGAGGTCACTTGGCTTGTTCAGCCTGGAGAAGAGGAGACTGAGGGGAGACCTCATTGCAGTCTACAACTTCCTCACAAGGGGAAGCGCAGGGTGAGGCACTGATCTCTTCTCTCTGTTGACCAGTGACAGGACATGAGGGAATAGCATGAAGCTGTGTTAGGGGAGGTTTAGGTTAGATATTAGAAAGAGGTTCTTCACGCAGAGGGTGGTTGGGCACTGGAACAGGCTCTCCAGGGAAGTGGTCATAACATCAAGCCTGCTAGAGTTCAAGAAGCATTTGGGCAATGCTCTGAGGCAGAAGGTGTGATTCTTGGGAATATCCTGTGCAGGGCCAGGAATTGGACTTCAATGATTCTTGTGGGTGCCTTTCAATTCCATATATTCTAAGATTCTATGATTCTATGACATTTATTTCCATTACCTCACTAACCGGCGGATCCCCAAAGCAACATCTGGACAGAGGTACACAAGTGAAGACGCAGGCACCATTAAACTCCGACTATGCTACAGGATCACTGGCTGCTGTTCACACATGCTCATCAAGAGGTATTCCCAGCTGCAGGGTCACTTGATCAATTTAAAATCCTCATATTATAATGGCATTCTGAAGGAGCTGGCAGCCCATGCATTGACAGATGCACTCTTCGCCAGGTAAAAACTGGCTGGAGGGCCAGGCCCAGAGAGTGATGGTGGATGGTACCATATCCAGTTGGCGGACAGTCACTAGTGGTGTTCCCTAGGCCTCAGTACTGGGACCAGATCTGTTTAATATCTTTATCGATGATTTAGACAAGGGGATCAAGTGTACCCTCAGTAAGTTCATAGATGACACTAAGTTGGATGGGAGTCTTGATCTGCTGGAGTGTAGGGATGTTGCGGTCGAGGTGGGGAGGCTCTCAAGAGCTGATGGTGTTGGAAGCTGAAGTGAGCTTGACAGGGAAGGAGTGGCAGAGACACCCCATTGTGACTGGTCCAGATGCCCCATATATCCTTAGTATCAATTACCTAAAGAATGGGTATTTCAAAGATCCAAAAGGACATCGATGGGCTTTTGGAATAGATGCTGTAGAGACAGATGGGATTAAACAGTTGAATGTGTTGCCTGGCCTCTCAGAGAACCCTTCTGCTGTGGGACTGTTAAAGGTTGAACAACAGCAGGTACCAATTGCCACCACAACAGTGCATCATTGGCAATCCCGCATGAACCAAGACTCAGTGATCCCCATACATAAGATGATCCGTGAGCTGGAGAACCAAGGAGTGGTCAGCAAGACTCACTCACCCTTCAACAGCCCTGTTTGGTCCATGCGTATGCCCAATGAAGAATGGAGATTGACTGTGGACTATCGTGGCTTGAATGAAGTAACCCACCTCTGAGTGCTGCTGTGCCAGACATGTCGGAGCTTCAGTATGAACTGGAATTCTTAAGGCAGTGAAGTGGTGCCACCACTGACATTACAAATGCATTTTTCTCCATCCCCTTGGCAGCAGAGTGCAGGCCGCAGTTTGTTTTTACCTGAAGGGGCATGCAGTACACCTGGAACCGACTGCCCTAGGGGTGGAAACACAGTCCCACCATCTGTCACGAACTGATCCAGGCTGCTCTAGAGAAGGGTGAGGCTCCAGAATATCTGCAGTACATCAATGACATCTTCGAATGGGGGAATAAGTTTTTGAGAAAGGAGAGATCATCCAAATTCCCCTGAAAAGCCAGATTTGCCATCAAATGGAGTAAGGTCAAGGGGTCTGCCTGAAAAATTCAGTTCCTGGGGGTGAAGTGGCAAGATGGATGTCGTCAGATCCCAACAGAAGTCATCTGCAAGATAACAGCAATATCCCCACCAACCAGCAAGAAGGAAACACAAGTTTTCCTGCGTACCGTAGGTTTCTGGAGGATGCACATCCCAGAATACAGACAGATCGTAAGTCTTCTTTACTTTGTAACACACAAGAAAAACTATTTCCAGTGGGGCCCCAAACATCAGTAAACCTTTGAACAGATCAAACAGGAGATTGCTCACACTGTAGTCCTTGGGCCAGTCAGGACAGGACCAGAGGTGAAGAATCTACTCTGCAGATGGGGAAAGTGGTCCTTCTTGGAGCCTCTGGCAGAAGGTGCCTGTGGAGATTCGAGGATGACCACTTGGATTCTGGAGCCAAAACTACAGAGGGTCTGAGACCAACTGCACTCCAACAGAGAAGAATATTCTAGCAGCCTATGAAGGAGTTCAAACTGCCTCAGAAGTGATCGGCATGGACGCACAGTTTCTCCTGGCACCCTGACTACCAGTACTGGGCTGGATGTTCAAAGGAAAGGTTCCCTCCATGCATCATGCTGTCATGGTCGAGGCAGGAGGCGACATGGGTTTCAGGATACCAGTTTTTTTATTGCAACTGTGCAGCTACCTTTATAAAGTTCTGGGGTGACACATGTACACACAGCATTGGTTTACCACTTCATAACAACTTATGATTGGACATACAGCCACATGTCCTAACACCATAGGCTGACATTCCTAACAGGAAACCCACTCTGTGTTACAGTCCCACTGTCCGTGGTAACCCTCTGCCAGGTGTAAGAAGTTCCATCTTTGGTATCTCAGCTTACTGAGAGCCCAGAACCAGCTGGACTCCCCCACAATTCCCCCTCTTTTGTATTATAGAAAATGCCAGCATCAGCTAATACAGGGCCCTTGCACTAGTGACATGGCAATATCAATAATACAATACAACTACACACATAGGCAAAGAATCAACCAGTCCTTCTTTCATCAGTCCATAAGAATGGTATTCCTTCTTCTCAGTGCTGAATGTCCATCAATGAGTTGTCCATGCAGCTTGTGCGTGTGCCACAGGTAGGTAGAAAGCAGACTGTTGGAGGATAAGAATATTGCTCCTCAAAAGCTAGCTGAACAGACAGGTTCAGCTGTTCCCTCCCCCCTTTTTTTTTTTTTCTATTTTTTTTTCATATTATTATTGGTAGTTTTTTTGACTTCTTAAAGTCTTTCAGTGCTTCAAAAAGCAGGTGTCAGGAAGGTAATAATTCCATGACTCCCCTGGAAGTAACTTTAGAAGTCCTGGTACCCGTGATCTCTGCTCCAAATTGGCATTTTTGCAGGAGCAGGGCACCTAGCTTGATTCTATGTTTCTCTTTAGCAGTAACTGCCACTCTGGATGACAGAGTCATCCTCACTAGATAACATGGAACCTATTATACTCCGGTGGTTCACCTGTTCTAGACAGGTGTCTCCAAAAGATCTGGACTGGCCCCCTGCGACTTTCTTGTCTCTTTTAAAATCTACACCGGAGTTCCCGCCTCCAACAGCTCTCTCGGAGCTGTCTCTCTCCGTCCTTGCTCGGGACGTGAAAACTTTCTAGATTGCTTCAGGAGGTACTAATGTAAGTTACAAACAGAGTAACAAAAAAGCGAAGCCAAACAGTAGCTGGAATGTTGCCTTTAGCAGCCGAGTGCTGATAAACGGCAGTTGCTAGGATACTGAGATTTCGCAACAGTCCGAGTCAAGCGGGGGAGGGCGGCAAACAGCAGTTTGCCTGCCCGGCAGCTGTGAGAGTAAGGAAGTAGGGTTCGCTCGGAACAAACAGCACTGCTGAGTCAGGGCACGTTCGGGGTGCGGTCTCAGCTGCTCCACACACAATCAGGGACGTCCGGTGATAGCGGAGGGACGCGAACCAGGCACGGAGCTGGCTGAAGCACTGTACGGAGCTGGGATGTCAGGAGCGGGACTGCACAGTTTACGTACAGCAGTATGCAGGTCGCGTACGCAGCCGCACAGTTTCCGTAGGGCTGCAGCTGGAACGCGGAGCGAGATAACAAACGCTCCAGGGGGGGAGTGGGGCAGCCCTGCGGGAAGGCTGGGAGCGGAGTGAGCCGAGCGAAGAGGGACAGAGGTTGGACGTGCTGCCCGCGGGGATACGTGCGCACGCCGATAACTTACGCACAGCAAAGGCGATGCCTCAGCAGCAGCGAAAAAGTTCTCAGTAGTAGCAAAAGGCAGCTCAGCAGCGTGCGATCTCTCGGGCTGAGAAGCAGTGAAACGGGGGGGTCAACGGCCACTTGACCCTCCCGGTAGCAGCTTCCCGAGGTCCCGCCCGAGTTATTCTTCGTTCGCTTCTTGTCGTCATGTGGAGTTCTCTTCTATCTTCCTTCGCAATCACGTCGGGATTCACCATATGTCGCGGTCGAAGCGGGACACGACACAAAACCCTTATGGATCCAGAGGCTGGAACACTTTATTGCACGATGTCTGCTACTTTTATAAACTTTTTAGGCTACACATGTCAACTCTCCACTGGTTCTCACATACATAAATATTCTTCCATTGGCCACTAACGGTGTTATATAACTCTGCTTACTGCGCATGTCACGAAACACATTTTGCTGTGCTCAGCACATTTTACCGGAAAACCATATTGTTACAACTTCCGGGTCCGTGCGTAATTCTCCCCTGAACAAAGGTTCCTACTTAGCTTTAACTCTTCCCGAATCCCCCAGGCCAGCTGGGGGAGAACCACCACATCATGCCACTGACACTACATGGAGTAAGTGGATTGCCTTGATAACACAGCACACTCAAATAGAGAACCCTAATCTCCCTGGGATCTTGTAGATAATTACAAATTGGCCTGAAGGTGAGAATTTTTGCCTGGTAGATGAAGAGGAAGAAGAACAGGTGGCACATACTGAGGAAGGCCCACCATACAACCAACTACCAGAGGACGAAAAGAATTACGCTCTTTTCACTGATGGTTCCTGTCGCATTGTAGGGACAAATTGGAAATGGAAAGCAGCTGTATGGAGCCCCACATGGCGAGTTGCAGAAGCCACAGAAGGACAAGTTGGATCAAGTCAAGTTGCAGAGCTGAGAGCTGTCCAGTTGGTTTTAGAAATTGCCAAACAAGAGAAATGGCCAAGACTTTACCTCTACACTGACTCGTAGATGGTGGCCAACGCTCTGTGGGGGTGGTTGGACAGATGGAAGAAGGCCAATTGGAAAGGTAAAGGGAAACACATCTGGGCTTTCGAAATGTGGCAAGACATCGTTGCCTGGGTAGAAAAGCTGATCATGAGAGTCCGCCATGTAGAGACACACATGCCCAAAAGCCGAGTAAATGAAGAACATTGTAATAACGAACAGGCAGACCAAGTTTCCCACATCAAAGTGTCACAGTTAGGCCTTGATTGGCAGAAGGAAGAGTTGTTCCTAGCTTGATGGTCCCATGATGCATGATGCCTCAGGTCATCAGCGGAGAGATGCCACCTACAGATGGGCATGAGACCAAGGGGTGGATTTAACCATGGACATTATCTCCCAGGTCATGCATGATTGTGAGACATGCTTTGCAATCAGGCAGGCTAAGAGAGTAAAGCCCCTGTGATATGGTGGGTGAGTGAGTAAGTATAGATATGGAGAGGCCTAGCAGATCGACTACATCACACTGCCTCAAACTCGCCAAGGTAAGTGCTATGTACTCATTGTGGTTGAAGCAACCACTGGATGTCTGGAAACATACTCTGTGCCTCACACCACTGCCTGGAACACCATCCTGGGCCTTGAAAAGCAAGTCCTGTGGTGACATGTCACCCCAGAGTTAATTGAGTCAGATAATGGGACTCATTTCAAGAATAGCCTAGTTACCACTTGGGCTAAAGCATATCGTATTCAGTGGATATATCATATCCCCTATCATGCACCGGCCTCTGGGAAGATTGAATGGTGTAATGGGCTGTTGAAAACTACTTTGAAGGCATTGAGCAGGGGGATTTTCAAGCATTGGGATCAGTATTTAGCAAAGGTTACTTGGTTAGTCAACACTAGAGGCTCTGTCAACTGAGCCAGCCCTGCCCAATCAGAACCAGTTCACTCCATAGATGGAGATAAAGTCCCCGTAGTTCACCTGAGAGGTATGCTAGAGAAAACAGTTTGGATTAGTCCTGCCTCAAGCAAAGGAAAACCCATTCAGGGTATTGCTTTTGCTCAAGGACCAGGTTGCACTTGGTGGGTACTGCAGAAAGATGGGGAAACATGATGTATACCCCAAGGGGACCTAATTTTTGGGTAATCTGTCCACAACACTGTACCTGTATGTGTATATTTGTAAATGTGTATATAATTGGAATATGTATATATATGTATGTGTATAGTTGGAAAGATTAAATACAATATAATGTGATGATATAAAAAATTAGGAGTGGATAATGTTTTAGTTAAATTAAGAAGGTTTTTTGTTGAATGTTTTCATATCATCACATAGTTTTGGAAGTGTGGGGGAACCGCCCCTGCCCTGCCAGGCCACGCTGAGAAGGGAAGAGGGCCCCAGAAGTGAAATACCATGAGAATGCAGGGTAGAGAGGATAAAAAACCCCCAGCCATTTCTGGATAGGCTCTCTTGTTCCGAGAGCGGGTACCAAGGCAGGATCACCACTAGGCTTCTCTCACCATTCTCTCGCCGCTTTCCCACGAATTTTTTTTGCAGCAGGACCACCCTCGGTGCTTGTTTGCCATGGCTCCTGCATCAGGTGCTTTCCAGGACTTCCAGTCACCACAGCTCCTGTGTGACGGCCACCACTTCCTGCGTGGTGCCGGCACATCTGCTGGTTGCTGCTGCAGCTGTGCCAAAGGGACTTGGAAGTTTTTTCCCTTTGTGAACGGTATGTGGCACCCAAGCACTGCTCCAGCTACATCATGGTCTCGTGACCTCCATCAGGACCCGTACTGCCATCTTGGCGGCATAAAACTCTTTCAAGTGAAATACTTTTCTCCTGCTTCTTCTTGTTTTAATTGAGAGGGGAGAGGGTGGTTTAGGTGATATTTTTTCTGCTATTGTTTGGTTTTGCTTGTTCTGTTTTGTTCTCCATTTTCCAGTAAAATTGTTATAATTTTTCCTACTTCATTCAGACACCTCATAATTTAAAAAATTTGTAATTTGGGGGAGGGATATAAACAAAAGAGAAGGAGAGTTTTACCTTCTCAGAGGTCCCACCTCCTGAAACATATTGGCATTAAACCAAGACACCTATCTATATTTTTTTTTCTTGCTCAGTGCTTACTTGTTTATCCACATTGAAAAAAAGGAATATCCAGTTCCTGAATTTTGTTCAAACTTGAAATTTGTAAGCTCTTTAATTGTTCACTATTTTTACCACTAGTTATCTTTTCAGAGATTTTCCTGGTCTGTTCTGCTATATAACCTGTATTGGTTTTCTTTAGAGAAACCACAATCTTTCCATAAGATTCCAAACTAGATGGGAGGAGACAGCAGTGGTCATTGTCAAATATTCAGCAGCTAAGCAGTATCATATAATAGCAGGATCCTGGTATTCCTTTTCATTAATATTTGTTTCCTTGAATCTTTTATATTAGGGCTTATTTTATCTTAGGGATGAAATATGCAGTATGTGATGAAATATGTGTCTCCTTAGTTTTTATTTTTAGATGACATTCTGTAGTGGGTTGACCCTGGGTGGATGCCAGGCATCCATCAAAGCCGCTCTATCACTCCCCTCCACAACTGGACAGGGGAGGGGTAATATAACAAAAGGTTCATGAGTTTAGATAAGGACCGGGAGAGGTCACTCACCAAATAACATCACAGGCAAAACTGACTCAACTTGGGGATATTAATTGAATTTATTACTAACAAAATGAGAACAGGATAATGAGAAGTAAAATAAATTGTGAAAACACCTTCCCCCCATCCCTCCCTCCTTTCCAGGCTCTACCTCCTTCTCCCCAGCGGTTCAGGGAGACTGGGAATGGGGGTTACAGTCAGTTCATCACACATTTTTACTGCTGCTGCTCAGGGAGAAGAGTAGTTCCCCTGCTCTAGAGTGGGTTCTGTTCCACAGGGTGCAGTCCTTCAGGCACAGCCTGCTCCAGCGTGGGTTCCCCACAGGGTCACAAGTCCTACCAGGAAACCTGCTCCAGCATGGCTCTCCATGCTCTCTCCACTTGTCTGCAGGTCCCTGCCAGGTGCCTACACCTGCATAGGTTTCCTATGGCTTCACAGCCTTCTCTTCAGGCATCCACCTGCTCTGGGGTGGGTCTCCTCCATGGGCTCCAGGTGGATCTCTGCATCCCCGTTGATCTCCAAGGGCTGCAAGGAAACAGCTGTTTCACCATGGTCTTCACCACGGGCTGCAGGGGAATCTCAGCTCCAGCACCTGGAGCACCTTTTCCCCCTCCTTTTTCCCTGACCTTGGTGTCTGCAGAGTTGTTTCTCTCACATATTCTGTCTCCTGCTCTTCTCTGGCTGCAATTACATCTGCACAATAACTTTTTTCCTTCTTAAATATGTTATCACAGAGGTGTTACCACCATTTCTGATTGTCCCAGCCTTGGCCAGTGGCATGTCCATCCTGTAGCTGGCTGGCATTGGCTCTGCCAGACATGAAGGAGGCTTCTAGCAGCTTTTCACAGAAGCCACTCCTAAATCCCCCCTGCTAGCAAAACATGGCCACACAAACCAAATAAAAAAAGCGCTGATTTATACAAAACAGGAAGAGGAGAAAATATTTACCACGCGAGTTTATCTTTTTGGCCTGGTAGATGGTTCATAGAGAACCTGTAATGGTAATTTTTCTGACACTTCAGGATCCATTCATGAAGGTATTTTACTTTAATAGACTTGCTGACTTCCATTTTTATTGGGCAATCTTCTCACATAATTTGTTTTGTGATGGGGTTTTTTGATTGCTTATGAAACAAAAGTATATATGTTTTGTTTCTTAAAATCTTTTTGTTTTGATTGCTAGCAAGGGGAAACTGCCCTGATGTCCTGAAGTCTTGTATAAAGCATTCATGTCAGCTCAGGCTAAAACTTGGCCAGATGTTGTACCTGTGTCAGTGCTAGTGAAAGAAAGTAAAACACAAAGCTACATATATTTAGTTTTTCTAGGTACAATGGTAAGTGATTTGATGAAATGGTTTTAGGGTGTTTTTTTGGGGGGGGGAGGTTTTTTGGTTTGTTTTTTTTTTTTCTTTGTTTTTTAAGTGAATTGTAACTTCACCAAATGGTATTACTTAAAATTTTTGACTATAGCTGCTGTAGAAATGTGCACACAGCTGCTGTTTTGGTAAACAAAGCCTAGTAGCCCGATGACAGTAATATTTAAAAAGTTGAGCGATATGATTTGGGAAGCATCGAACTGCAATATGCTGTACTTCGCCTAGGTACACTGTATAAGAAAATAAATGTGTTATCACTGCAGTGGCTTTAAAGATCAAATAGACTATTATGTAGAATACAAATAATGCATATTAAAATTGCAGTTGATTCTTTCTGATAGATCATACAAATTGCTGTCAGACTGTATTTACTTACACATAAACAATGTGCTCCTGCTCTTAATCAGGATAATGATTCCAATCCTACTTATGCATTTTTTAAACAACTGTTAAATACTATGCTTCAAATAATTTCTGATTTCCTGAAGGCTTAATTTTTCTAATATATCCTTTCTTCACCCTTCTTCCATTCTATTCCTCTTCTTAAAAGGTTAAAATTTGGTACATTTCACTAGCTGTTGTATGACTGAAGAACTCCTTTTGATTAAAGAAGGAAAATAGTTTCTTTATGGGGTATGGATGCCCAGCATACTCTGCTTTTCTTTGTATATTTTTAATCTCTTAAATAATTGTCTTCCATGGTGCATTAAAATAGTCAGCCCTGTGCAATCCATAATAAAGGGAGAAATACATATTCCCACACCACACCAGTGATGATGATTTTTGTTTAATTGTGAGTATAAATAATACTCTGTAGTGCTGCAAGTACTAGCAAGCTGCCTTTGTTGTCTTGGAAGCTTTTTTCTCCACCCTCTGGAGTAGTGGTAGTGTGGGTCAATGCTGGGGTGATTAGGGCCTTTGGAATCCAGAGGAAAAAACAAAACAAACTTCATGAGAGGTTGCAGACATAGGTTCTTGGTGAGATTACAGTTACTTTCTCTCTTCATTACCCTTGAAAGCAGAGGAAGCCTCCCTTATTACTGTTATTTATGAAAGGGATTTTCTTATCAAAGATGTCCAGACCAGAAGCTCAGAATCCAAAGAAATTTTGTTCTTTTTATTAAGGCTTAACAGGTAATTAAGAAAAAATTAAAGTTTGGTAGTTTGTTTCAGTAAGTTTTACTTCTGATTTCAATATTAACTCTGAAAGAATAATTACAAGTATTATTTGTTTTGAGCTGGTCAGATTGTAGAAAATCTTAAAAGAAATTACTCCTTCTCTTACCATTTCATTACAGCAATAAATCCTGCCAGTGTCCTCAGAAAAACTTTGTATGTTTGACTCTAAAAATTAGTTCATATAAAAATTCCCTGTCCAAACATGCTTAACAATAAGGTTGCAGGGACAGCTAGATTAAAAACAAAATTCCTAAAACTCACCTGAAATAGAAATAATTCTTGTGGATTTTCCAGTGTCCATTTATTTGAAAGGAAGACTGAAAAGATAAAGGTTAATTCTCTTAATATTCTGGACAATTTATTTTTTCTGTTTAGCTTTTTCCAGAAATGAAATATTGTCCTGATTCAACCATCTTTTGTTTTTCATGTTTTAGAAAGTTTGGAATTTTCATTGTCCTTTCATGCAAAAAGCAAATATCCCCTTTCAAAGCTCAATGTGTGGACTGCAACATTCTTACTCTTGAAAAGAAAATAAGATCTCCTTTTCTGAACCAGTTTTATCTCTCACAAGAATACTTGAAAAATATATTAAATTTGCAAAACTGGAATGTAACAGTTCTATTTTCTAGTTAATTAATTTTACATAGATGAATTAAAAAAATTGATCTTTCCTAGAAGAATTTTGATTCTGCTTCATGATTTTAGTATTCAAATTTCTCTTCATATGGACTACAAGGAGGTTGCATTTGTTAAATATGCTTATGGTGGAAGAAATAGAATTTTTTTGTTTATTAGTTTCGGGGGGGGGGGGTTGTAGGGTTTTTTTTTGTTGTTGTTCTGAATCTGGCTTGATTCATTTGAGAAAAGGCTCCACTCGCCATCATATGCTTCATGGATTTCAACAGTTGTGACAGCCTTTCCTCACTGGTAGTGTCAGAACTGCCTTATCTTCAGAGGTATTGATGTGTTGTTTGAATGCTTTTGTTGCCTAAAAAGACTGTGGAGAAAAAGACTCCAGGCCAATTTAGTGTATAAGATAAAAAGAGCTGGTCCTTTAATGAGGCTTTAGGCCCAGGGGAATACACACAACATGTACCCACCAAGACAGTGGTTCTATGATTTTATAATAAGGTCCATTCAATCCCAGATCTATCCACCTCCTGGTTCTGCCCAGTTCTACCCTCCAACACACCCCCCTCGGGAATTGGGTCTGGGGGCATTTGGGACCCCTTCTTCCTCATCTTCATCTTCTTCACAGCACGTACAGTCCTTGGAGTTTCTCCAAAGTTCTGGGCTTGAAGCTTGCTGTGTCTGCATGATATCTCCTGGTGCAGCCCTAGGGTGCTGGATTTCTTAAACAGAGGTGTTTTTCTACATTTCTTCCTTGAAAAGAAGTCTAAACACGCTAATGGAATTTAGAGGGATTGATATGAAATGGGGTAATAGGGTTGGGTATGTGTAAACTGCTATGTTAAGGGTAAGAGAGAATGCTGCTACATTAAAATCTACATTTACTACACAACTA